TTGGCGGTAAAAATTTGCAAAGCCCAGGAAACTTTGTAGTTGCTTTCTTGTGCGGGGTGGTGCCCAATTTAGTACTGCTTTGACCTTCTCCGGGTCCATTTCAATGCCCTGTGGGGATATGCGATAGCCTAGGTAGTCTATCCTTTCCTGGTGGAATTCGCATTTTGAGAGTTTGGCATATAGGTGAGCGGCTCGCAGCTTCTTTAAAACCGCTCTGACAAGTTTGACGTGTTCTTCTTTTGTTTCAGTAAAGATAAGAATGTCGTCCAAGTAAACAAGGACCCCCTTAAATAGGTGCTCCCTTAGAACGTCATTGATTAATTGCATAAAGACTGCAGGGCCCCCTTGTAATCCAAATGGCAAGACTTTGAATTGATAGCACACCATGGGGCAGTTAAATGCAGTCTTCCATTCGTCCCCTTCCTTGATTCTCACGCGATAGTAAGCTTCCCTTAGTCTAGTTTAGAAAAAATTTTCCCTTTCGATAGGTGTGACAGCATGTCTTTCATGAGGGGCAGCGGGTATAGGTTGCTTTCACTGATTGTATTCAGGGCCCTATAATCCACGCATAAACGTAAAGAGCCATCCTTCTTCTCTCTAAAAAGGACCGGGGCAGCCACTTTAGGCTTGGCTGGCTCAATGAAACCTCTCTCCAGGTTTTTTTTTATAAATCTTTCCATTTCCTCCTTCTCCTTTGGGCTCATGGAGTATAATCTGGGCTTCGGGAGTTTTGCCCCAGGCTTGAATTCAATGGTACAGTCTGTGGGTCGGTGGGGGGGAAGCTCATTCGCCCTCTCCTCACTGAAGACTTCAGCAAGGTCCCTATATTCCTCTGGTATTTCTGTTAATCTTTTTTCCTCTCCTATGGATGCTTTTTCTATTCTTGATTCTGGTAGCCTCCCTTGGGGTTTTAAGTCCATAGGGTCCCCCTTCGGGAATTTGATTTCTGTCGTCCTCCAATTTACCCAGGGGTTCCATTTTTTCAACCATTCCATCCCTAGAATCATTGGGCATTCCATACCTGGGGTCACCACAAACGTTAAGTCCTCTTCATGGTTGCCCAGGGAGAGGTGTATTGGCAGAGTGGCTAGGGTAGCTGGCACCCCCCCTGCTATGGATCCATCTAGCTGGCCAAATGAGATTGGTTGTTCCAGTCTCCTGGATGGGATGCCCAGATTCCCCACTAGTGTTGGGCTAATGAGGCAGCGGGTGCAGCCAGAGTCTATTAAGGCTTTCACCTTCACAGCTTCGGGCATGGGGGGGATTAATATAGTCACTGTTTTGAAGATGGGTGTGATGCATCCACTTACCAGGGGTTCGCCCTCCGAGCTGTCATCTGAGGCATCCACCGTCCCTGTGGTGTAGGCTGGAGTTCTTTCCCCTTGGTGAGCAGAGGTGGGGGTTTCTGCAATTTCCATCATTTTCATGGCTGTTTCTTTTGGCTTAGCTGAATACCCTCTGGGTTTGTTGATTGGGGATCTGTCTGGGTTGTGCTGGGGGGCCTTTGAGCGGCATTCTACAGCTCGATGCCCTTCTCTTCCGCACTTGAAACACCCCATTTGCTTCTTGGCTGTATCCGATGATTTCACCGGTTGGTGTGTCAGCTCAGGCGGGGGGCGGCTCCATTGTTTTCTTCAGCGGTGCCTCTTCAATATGTCGATCCCTGCTTCCTCTGCCAGGACGTACCATTCCTCAAGTTGGTGTGGGTCCCCTCGGGGCAGGCAAGCGTCATATAGATCATAATTTAGTCCATCTTTGAAATGGCTAAGGAGGATGTCTTCTGGCCAATTCAGTTTGCTGGCAATGGCCCGGAATTCTTGTGTATATTCAACCACCGGGCGTTTGCCTTGCCTCATCATTTTTATCCTTTCACGGGCTTTGCGATCAGCCAGGGGGTCTTCAAATCGTCTTCTCAGAGAGGACATGAAACGGTTGAAGTTACTGAGTTCTGGGGCATTGGAGTCATGCAAGTTCACTACCCAATCCGCAGCTGGTCCATCCAGGGCAGATTGCACGATCCGGATGCGGGCTTTGTTGCTGGGAATGTCCTGCCCATATTCCTCCATGTAGCTGAGTACTTGGGTTAGGAAAAACCCCAAGCGTGTTGGCTCCCCTTTGAATTTCACCTCCAACGGTGGACGTCTTGGAATGGATCGGTGCCTCCGTTGTGGGTGGTAGTGTCTTCCGTCCAGATTGCCATCTGTGGTCCGGTAGGGGGTGGGGGCTCCTGGATCAGTAGATGTCCCTGGGGTTGCAGGTTCCACGTCCCCCTCGGTGTCTCTCCCTTTGTGGCTCCAGGAACTGGGGCGGCCGTAGGGCTCAGTATTCTCCTCTCCTAGGGAGCTGAGAGTTCTCTTCATCAGGTCAATAGCTTTCTCTAGGATCCAGTCTGAGTACGGTACCCAGCTTCCTCCCTCTTCACTTGCGTGCAGGGATTTCTCCATCTCCTGCTTCCATTCTGGTTGCTTGGTCCCCCGTCTCAGGGTCACCTTTCTTGATTCCTTTCTCCACTCACTTTTCTTTCCAACGTTCATCGACCAGCGAGGCTTGTGGTCCTGTGTCTCCACCACTTCTTCTCCCGAGGAATCTGACCTCTCAGATCCCAACATCTGGCAAGGTTCCAACTGGGTCAGCGGCTCTCTTTCCAGGGAGTTTTCCCCCTCTCTTTCTCCATTGTCTGACATGGTAAATTTTTTGCAAAATCCCCCGGCAAGGGTCTCCCTTCCAGGTGGATTAATTTTGCAAGTCCTGTCTAATGTAAGGACCCACCCCACTTTGCATCTTAAGAAGACAGAACTCTTGGAATAATTCTTCCAACAGGAATCCTTTATTAAGAGAAAATGGTTGCAGGCATGCTAGACAGGACTTGGGGTTCAAGCTCTTCCATTCAAGGTTTTAAGGAGTTCCCCAGTAGTCCCACCCAATCAATCCCCCTTCCAGTGATAGTTTCAAGTATCACAATTCCACCCCCTTTCTTCTTTCTTCCGTCTGCATGGGGACTTCAGATAACTACATGAAAGGCAACTACCCTCCTTTGGTATGTTAACGCTTCGAGGGTACAATAAACACACATTCAGCATTCAGCTCTTTGAAGTGTAAAGAAGGAAGTGAGGGCCATAAAGCCCCTTTGTTCTCCCCCTTCTCTCCCTCTTATGGCAGAATCCAGAGAAGGCAGAATTGGGAGTTTCTATATTTGATAATTTAAAGATGAAATATAATTGGATTCTGACACCCATCCACAGACACAAGGGGGCCTGCTGCCGGCAAGATGGGGCTTACCAGTCTCAGTCCATTGAAGAGGTCAGCTTGGAGTCCCATCTCGGGGTGCCAAATTGTTAGAAGTAAAGTCTTCATCCTGGTTCATCCAAGCCGGGAATAAATAAGCAAACATGGCGACTGCTTTGGGAAGAAGGTTACAGTTTATTGCAGAAAGATGGTTCTTCAGGAAAGTGCAGAGGAGAGAGAAGGGCTGAGCACATGGGGCAGTAGGCTTTTATACCCCCTCTAGCCTTGTTTGGAATAGTTTCCTGTTCCTGTGGCATGAACCTTGAGGCTGTTTCTGAGTGTTTGTCTAGACCTTGCTATCTGTGGTTTAATTCTATTATCATATCCTGCTTCCCAGGTGATCGGGCTGACTCCTAGAGTTTGGGTGGGGTATGCAGATTTTCTCTTTTGTCTTCTTGATGGCTCTGGCTTCAACTTTCTGATGGTTTTACATCTGCATTTGTACAGGGCTAAAGTCTTGCTTGGGGCAGAGAGATAGATTTGGGGCCAGGTTTGGTTTTAAAAAGTCCTTTTGAGGAAAAATATATTTTTCTGCCCTTTTTAATATTTCTTTCTCTGGGCTAACTTCCCTCAATAGCTTCTCTACTCAAAAAATTTCCACTACAGCAAATTCAATTTTAAATTTTTCTTTCAATATTAAATTTTGAAGACCTTTCTTTTACTTCTATCATGGATAAGAAACTACTACTTAGAAAAAGTAGTAAGTCTTCAGGATCAGAATCACAAGCTAAATGCAAACCAAGTGAGTATTGCAGTAGCAAAACACGCATACAAACATACTGGTAGACACAAGTTATTTTCTCTGAGCCCTAGGAAGCAGGCAATGGCAGGCTACTTCCAAAATAATTTGCCGAAAAAACTGCAGTGACTAGTCAGATATCACCAGGAGTCCACACTGACTAGAAGGCATTGTTGAAAGAAAAATATTCATCAGGGTTCAGTCCAAGCCGGGAATAAACAACATGGCAACTGCTTTAGAAAGAAGGTTGTAGTTTATTGGGGAGGAGACCCAGACAGAAAGCTGGCTATTAAAAAAAAGAGAGAGAGAGAGACCACATGTAGTAGAGAGTGGATTTTTATACCTTCTTGGGCTTTTGTTTGGAGTTGTTCCTTTGGCATGAACTTTGACCTGAGTCTGAGTGTGCCTTTCTGGTACTCTGATGGTGGTGGGTTTATGTCCCAAAGGTCATATCCTACTTCCTTGGGGCTGTGGCTAATGACTGTTAGATTTTTTGATGTGAGGGATTGTTCATTCTAGGGATCTTTCTTTCTAATCCCAACTTCCTAATTCCCATCTTTCTGACAAGATTATCACATCTGCATTTCTGCAGACCTATTTTTTATTTGGGGCAGAGAGACTGGGGGGGGGGGGGTTGTTTCTGCCTTTAAAATCCTTTGGGGAAATATAATATTCTGCCTTTTAATATTCCCCAAAATATTTCTTTCTGGGGTGGGCTTACTTCCCACAGCATTAAACATGCTTTTTAAAAGGAAAGATGATTAATACCTGGCAAAGGTTTAATGGTTTGTTTATATATGCGTATGTATGTACTGTAGGATGCATCTGCCCTTTTATTTGTTCGTTATCTTTTGGCACCTTTGTACTCTTTGCAAATATTCAAGCAACAAAAGCGATTAATTACAAAGGAGTGCTCCCGCCAAACCGGACAAAACCTTCCCGGACCTTCGCCCAACGCTAAGTGGGGGAGGAGGAGGGGCCAGCAAAGCGAAAGGGAAATCCGACGCCAAGAGCGGTTTAAAGCCGCTGCGCGCTCTCATGATTCTGCGGCCGTGCGCACTCTTAATCCTGCTTCCCTTTCTTGGGTATGGCTCCCGCTCCGAATTTACACTGGCAAACCTCTCCCTCCTCTCTCGCAATCCCAGAAGCAGAGAGTGGAAGAAAGAAACCGCCTTGCGAGTAGGTACCGAAGGACACAAAGGCTCCTTGAACCCCAGTTGCGAGAAACCTACCCACAATCCCTTTTTCGTGCGCAGGCTCAGTTGGCAGGCTCCGCTTTTCGGCTTCCTCGCCTGTTTTTTCCCCCGCTTTATGCTCCGACCTACCCATCCCCAGTTTGCAGTGTTACTCTTTAAGCTTCGGGGCCGAACGCCCTCTTCCCTTTGCCCGATTCACTTAGATTGAAGATCTCTTTTATACAGGACTGCAAAACCAGCGACCCTGTTTCCAAAGAGGTTGCCATTTAAATAACGGGGATTAGGAAAGGACGGTAGTTATATTAAAATAGAATTAGTACGAGATGGCTATTTTTTTTTCTCTACCAGCAGGTTTTATTGTGAGTCGCCCACTGAGCTATTAATTAGAAGCTCTCTGGGTGGCTCACAATTCAACCTCTCCTGCATAGTTTTTCCAATTTTTCATTTTTAAAAAAAATCAGTTAATTTTTTAATTAATGAAAAATTGGAAAAACTATGCAGGAGACCTGGATTACGAAGAACTGAAGAAAGTAGTTGGTTTGAAATACAAAGTATATTCATTCTCAAAACAGGTCACATAGTGAAAAATCAACCATTTTCACAAGTGCTGAAATCCTTGTTCACTTAAGTCTGTAGTTGGCAGAAAGCAGATGTGTGTTGAACGGCTTCAGTGTAGCTCTTTGAAAATTGTTTGGTTGTAATTATATATGTGGTCTATTTTTTCAGGAAAGTATTAAGAGAATTAAGCATTGGAATTCATTATCATTCAGTGACAATATTACTGCTTTGTACGGAGTAAATCAGTTTTCTCACTTATCGCCTGAAGAATTTAAAGGTACAGAACATATTACCAAGTGTACTCTTTACCAGTGGTACCTGGATGAATGTATTCTGAGGATTTGATATTATCCTTAAGAAGCTTCAAAAAGACAGAGAGTGCATTGTACACTATTCCATATATGCTGGATTACTGCTACAAAAAAGATATTAGTATTAATTAAAATATATAAGTGTTTACTTTCAAAGCAAGATACTTGTGCTGATGTAGCTGTGATAAAGCCAAAATAAATTGTTTTTATTTTAAAGCTATTTACCTACAAAGTAGACCTTCTAAAGTTCCCAGATATGTTCAACAAGTTACATTACAAGGAACAGACTCCCCCTTGCCAGCAAAGTTTGACTGGAGGGACAAGAATGTTGTTACAGAAGTGAGAAATCAAAGAGAGGTAAACTCTCTATTTCTTTTTTATTTAATCTCAATGTACTAGTTTTGGACATACATATTTTAATTCTATGGCAGCCTTACACTGTAATTAGAGGTGGTATTATTTATAGGCAAAGATATTTCTGCATTCTTTTTGTGTTAGTGTTGTAATACCTTCTGTCTTAGATTTGCATGGTGCAGCTTTTTCTTAATTCATGTTTGGCAGCTAAAGGCAGTATATTTCTCTCATTCCGTGACATAGATGAGAGATCAGACATGTCAAACACAAGGTCCGTGGGCCACATCTGACCCGCAATATGGTTAGATCTGGCCGGCAGGGTGGTCTTGGAGATAGCAAGGGACCGCCCCCGACCTCCTTGGCCCCAGCCCAGCCCAACACTGATCTACAACTTCATGGCAGCCATCCAGGCCAAAACGCAGTCAGCCTTAGATCTGCGAGGCCATTTAGAGATAGCAAGGGGCTGCCCCCACTGCCTTGGCCCCTCTCCTTGTGTGCATGCACAGGAAGTGGTGAGTGTGCTGGGGCTGGCATCCCAGGTGAAGCGGAAATGCTCAGAATGCAGTCAGCCTGTGGAGTGCGCCAGGGAGGTGGGGCTGAGATGGCAGGATGGCCCCTTGCTGTCTCCAGGGCGCCCCCAGGGTTCAAATCTAAGGCTGACCACGTTCCGACCCTGATGGCTGCCACGAAGTTGTTGATCAGTGCCACACCCACTACAAGCGCTTTCATGGCCCTCTCGCCAGCTCAGCCTCGCAATCTGCGAGGGCTTCCCTTTCACCGAGACCATCTCCATCCCCGTGTGGGAAAGCCACAGCCACTGGCTATACGACCACTGACAGTACTACCAACCTCTCCCTCTCTTCTTGTCCCTTCCTGGACACAGAGGGAGAGAAGGAGGGTGGAAGGAAAGAAGGAGATGGGAATGAGAACAAGGGAGGCAGGGAGGAAGGAATGAAGAAAGAGAAGGAAGGGAAGAGATTGAAATGAGAGGAAGGGAGGGTCTAAGGAAAGTTTTGCCTTAGCACTTGACCACCAGCAGCCCTGCTGCCCTTTCACCATCCTCTTGCTCCTTCCTCCTGGCCTCTCCTGGTGGTATCCCATCCTATACTGAGGATGTTCTGGTTACAAAGTCATGTCTCCTTGCACGGAGTTGGAGTGGGCCTCCATCTGACCCACATACTTTGCCCTCCCACACCCGCAATGAGCAACCTGGCCAAGGAGAGTGAGCCCAGCAGCAGCAGCCTTGAGGAGGAGGAGGTAAGCACAGCCAGGCACCCCCTTGGGGAAGCCAGGCTGGGCTGGGCTGTGGGATCCTTGTGCCCCAGAAGCTCGAGGGCTCCAGGCAGCCCGTACCACTGTCCAGGGATCCTCTATGTGGCCTGAGAGGGAGAGCAAGGCTCCTCTGGTGGAGTAGGCTTTGTCACTAATCCTGGATCCCCCTTCCAGCCACTGCTTGGCCCTTCCATAAGCGGTGGACAATGACACTGCTGTGTGTGTGGAAGAATGGAGGAAAAGGTTTGCAGGAAATAGTTTCTTCCAAGTCCAACCTCTGCCTTGACAGATCTCTGGAGAGGAGGAGGGGGTGGTGAGGGAGCTATGTGAGGGAAGGATGCCCTAACAAGCCAGCATCCTTACCACACATAATTGAGAAGGGTCAGCCTCCCTTGTGCAGGACCAGGGAGTGCTGCTCCTCTGCCTCCTCTTCTTGCTCTTCAGAGATCTGTCAAGGCAGAAATTGGACTTGGAGGAAATTGCTTCCTGAAAACTTTCTCGTCCATGCTTCCCACATGCAAAAGTGTCATCCTCCACTTCCTGTTTTGCTGGGAGGGACACTAGACAGGGAAACACCAACGATGTCTGCAATTGGGAGAAGAATGTCTCTTTTGGCATGCTGTGCACATGCACACATACACACACCATTCCAGGCTTGGAGACTTTTATCCACATCTGAGCTTACAAACTGCCAATCATGCCTGTGCTTGGGGAGAAGGCCCTCTCCTTCCACTGTGGATCAAAGTCCCCAAACTTGGAATGCAGTGTGTGTGTGTGTGTGTGTGTGCGCGCATGCGCATGTGCACATGCACACACCCACTTGGCTGCCAGCAGTTTGGGCAGGCAAGGAGCTTGTGGGGCATCGAATTGTCTCCATGTCAAGTTAGCCAGTGCGATTTGTTTCATCCCGACCCAGCTGTGCCAAGTCAGCCACACCCAGTGAGCAACGTCAAACTGGCCATGCCCACACAGCCATACCCGCCTAGTCGGGGCAACACCACTACTGGCCCTTTGAGGGCAACCATAATGCTTATGTGGCCCTCAATGAAATTACGTTGGACACCCCTGTGAGAGATCATGATTAGCTCTAAGTGACTTGAGTAAACTCTATGCCTAACTAGAAACTAAGTTTTTTTATTATATTTTAACAGTCTGAAAGTGCATAGAAAAAACGTCTGCACTTAAAAAACAACAACTGATATCTGTTCACTTCTCCTGAAAGGAACCAAAAGGGTTTTTTTTTCAAAATAGATTGAATACTATATGTTATCAGAAAAATATTATAAATAAAAAAACCATAAATAGTGCAGTGGGGTGACATAATATGTATAGTAAATATGCTTTCTTAAACTGTTACTCAAAGAATAATACCCATGCAATTTTTTTTCTTTTCAGTGTGGTGCCTGCTGGGCTTTCAGTATTGTCAGTGGAATAGAATCTGCTTATGCAATTAAAAGAAACACTCTGGAAGAACTCAGTGTACAGCAGGTCATTGACTGTTCGTACAATAATTATGGTTGCAATGGTGGTTCAACTATTAGTGCACTGAGTTGGCTAAATCAGGTATTTCTTTAAAATCTCTATTGGTAAGTGAACAGTGTTTGTGAAGAGAACACAATTCTTAGAATTATTTTAAAAAATAGCTTTGGTTGAACTCGATGTCATACTAATCCAAAAATTCCCTCCACCACTACATTGATTTTTCAAACTAGTGGATTGGCTTGAAATGGCTATATTGACCATATTCCTTGGGCATTAGGAAGGTGACTGCCGAGGTGGCGCAGCAGTTAGAGTGCAGTACTGCAGGCCACTTTAGCTGACTGTGTTCAGCAGGTCAGCGGTTCAAATCTCACCGGCTGACTCAGCCTTCCATCGTTCTGAGGTAGGTAAAATGAGGACCCAGATTGTTAGGGGCAATGTAAAATATACATATATATATATATATATATATATATATATATATATATATATATATATATATATATATACATTGCTTACTGGTGTACACCGCTTAGAGAATGCTTGCACTTAAAGCGGTATATAAGTCTCATAAATAAATAAATAAATTACATAAATTCTTTAAATATTTTCCACCAAACCCTCTAGAAATAGGAATTAAGAACAGTTCTGGATTCCTGATCTCTTTCTCTTCATAGTATGCAATACAAAAAAAAAAAGGAATTTCATGCTTGTTTGATTGCAATATTGTCTTGGCCCTCTTGTTTTGAGATGCATAAATATATTGATATTTAATCATGAATCATTGATTTTTTTTCCCCCGAAGACACATGTGAAACTGGTGAGAGATCCAAAGTATCTGTTTAAAGCTCATACTGGATTGTGCCATTACTTCAAATATTCTGATTTTGGAATCTCAATAACAGATTATGTTGCATATGATCTAAGGTAATACTTAATGAATATTTTTATGTGTTTTTTTTTCTTGACTGGCTTAAGATAGAGAAGCATTGGCCTTCCAGATGTTACAATTTCATCTGATCTGTATGATGAGGGACAGTTGGAGTCATGTTAAAAAATTGGTTCTCTTGCAATAGGGAATTGATATATTGAACAGTATAAATACAGATAGTTCTTGCTTAATGATTAGCTGCTTAACAAGCAGCTGAAGTTATGTCAGACTTCCGGTCTTAAAAAAGACCTTTCCTTGAAGTTATGACTGCACATCTATCGCCTGCAGTCACATCGCCTGCAGTCACAATGATGCTTGGCAGCCAGCTCATATTTATCATTAGTTGCAGTGTCTCACAGTTGTGTGATCATGTTTTGCAACTTCTTTGATGTTTTAGAAAATGGCAAAAAAATAAATATAAAATCCATGTGGTTTCTTTAATGACCATAGTGATTCACTCTATGACTATTGTAAAAGGTATAATCAGCTTAACAATGAGTGGTTATCATCAACATAGTAAAAACTTAATAGATATTCTTGAAATGATAGAAGGCTACTTCCCAATTCTCGATAAATTTAATAGTAGCTTGGATTCTGTCCCATTCTATCCTTTTTTAGAATTTTAAATAAATTCCTTGATTCTCCAGACACAATAAATTCTATCCATCATACTTAGGAGAAAAAACATAATACTTTTCTGCTTTTAATGTAGGAAATTACTGATGACAAAGTAGAATGGCTTTTAATACAGGAAAATATCAGGTCAATTTGTAAGGAAACAGATACATGTTATACATTTACCCAGTTATCCATAAAAAGGATGAGGTACTGTTTGCAGCCTACTGACTCTTTTCCCATGTTGCCAGAATAATTAGTGATACTGAAAACAACAAAGCTGTTTGGGGTTATATACCTCCACAAGAACATTCAGAATAAAAAAGAAAATCTCAAATGTTTGCAAATAGTTGAAAACCAATATTTATTTATTCATAAATCTGTATAAATAATTAAGTAATATTCACTAATGCCAGTACTTAAATGAAAAGTAATCATTTTTTTTGCTTGTTCAAACCAGTATATTTTAAAATATTTCAAATGCATATTTTCAATTCACATTTAAATGTTAAGAGTTTATTAAAATATTACTAGAACTGACCATTTTAGTAGCTAATTAACATCATTACAACTTTGAAAAATGCCTATTGTAACACAAATTGATAAATGTATTTAAAAATCATTGCCTTTATTCTACAGCTAATATATGTTTGACAATTTTAAAAAAGAATAATGCAAGCAGACAGAGTTAAAGTATTTGGAATATTGTAATACATAAAATAACAGGCTTTGGTACAATTCCTAATTGTGTGAGAAATTGTACGCCAAATAAATTTCTCTTTAGAGACTAAATAGTTCTAGATACATATATTAGCAAGCAATTCTGTTTAGGCAAGGAAAGATACTCCCCAAGAACCACAGAAAAATCAGATCTAAACATTTGGTTCCTCTTTTTTGCAACTACAGGTAGTCTTCAACTTACAACAGTTTGGTTAGTAACTGTTCAAAGTTACAACAGAAATGAAAAAATGATTCATGACTGTTTTTCACATTTACAACCATAGTTACATGATCAGAATTCAGATGCTTGGCAAGTGACATGTATTTATGACAGTTGCAGTGTTCTGGAGTCATGTGATCACTTCACGACCTTCAGACAAGCAAAGTCAATGGGGAAGCCAGGTTCACTTAACCATGTTACTAATTTAACAACATCAATGGTTCACTTAACAACTGTGGCAAGAAAGGTCATAAAAAGGGGCAAAACTCATCAACTGTCTCACTTAGCAACAGAAATTTTGGGCTCAACTGACAGGTAAAACCACGGATAGATTGGGATTGGTACTGGCACTGGGAACTAAACTCTATTAAGTATGTGTTTACAAAATGCCTTGATTTAACAAAATGCCCCCTTGCTCCTCTCCCACCCAATTCAGCAGACTTTGGATGCAGTAAACCAACAGCCCCTGACCTTTTGGGCACGAGGGACTGGTTCCATGGAGAGAGATTTTTCCCTGGACCAGAGAGGGCATAATTTCGCATGCTGCCTACATCCAGAGGATGGGGCTTCGCTTGTTTGCATGGCCCGGTTTCTGGTATGCTGCGGTCCGGTGCTGGTTCACAGACTGGAAGTCTATGGACCAGTAACTGACTTCTAACTTTAAGAAATAATGGAAAAGCCTATTTAATTAATCAAGTTACATAAAGCATTTATATATTGTATACATATTGATATAAATTGTATATAAACATTGCATGTTTTCAAATTAGGTAATTTTTCATACATTATTTAAATTTTCATTTAACAAATATTTGCCTTTAATGGACACTCACTTTAAGGTTTTACTAAATTTGAATTAAAGTTATGGAGACAATTATACATTTTCCAAGTTCGTTGCTTCATTTGAATAACATTTATATTTAATTATTGGTGCAGTGATAGTTAATTTTTCCTAATATAATTTCACTGGCACAAGTTACTCCAGTTTCTGAATAGACACAGGAATGGCCAGCTTCTTGATACAGGTTGATGAGAACTGTTTTATTGCAGAGTGATGTTTTGATTATTGCATTCTGAGTGTGTATTATTATGTCTGTGTCTTGTAGCAAACATGAAGATGAAATGATGAAGATGCTGATTAAATGGGGTCCTTTGTCAGTAGTTGTAGATGCCCTTAGCTGGCAAGATTATCTTTGTGGTATCATACAACATCATTGTTCTAGTGGGGAACAAAATCATGCTGTGGTTGTAACTGGTTTTGATAGAACAGGTAAACTTTCATTTGTTTATTTTGTTATTTATTTCAATGCAAAATAGTTTATGTTTGCTATTTATTTATTTATGAGAAGGATTTACATATGTTTCTTGGCTGTATCAATATGCATATGTATAATCCATATAACAAATTGATGTTATTATTCTTGAGATGATATTATAAGCTTAATTTCTCAGATTAATTTCATTGCTCCAGTTTTTATAATTATAAAGCCTGTACTTTGATGTAGACATCTACACTGTGTTTGTTCATAAAGGCAATCCTCCATTTACAACTGCAATTGGACCTGAAAGAGCAGTCTTTAGCAAAGTGATTGTTAAGTGAAATGCCATGTGACTACACAATGACACAAACCTGGCTCTCCCAATTGTGGTCATTAAGTGCATAAGGCTGTGCCTTCTCCCTGCTCCATCAAGGAGAAGGATCATGAGTGTTTTTGTCAGGTTTGAGGTCCATTCCTCCAGGATTGTAGGAGAAACTGGTGAAAATGCTAGTGAACACCAGCTTTGTAAACCTTTCAAAATGTTGCCATTTGCTAGCATTTTCCTCTCTGGAAAGCCCAGAAAGTCTCCGGGGGGGGGGGGGGGAATGCTAGTAAACACCAGCATAGTGAAAGGCTTCGAATGCTTATGTTTACTAGTATTTTTGCCAGATTTGTTATTTGTTTCTCTAGTATGCAGGAGGATTTCTACTTCCTGAGGGGAAGGGAAGGGAAATCCCTTGACAGGCTGAGGAAATGGGCCTCAACCCGAGGTCCTCTCCACTTGCAACTTTCCCTTCTGGCTTCCCTATTGACTTTCTGGGGAAGTCAGCAGAGAAAATTGCAAATGGCAATCATGTGATTGCAGGGCATTCGGCAATCAGTTGTAAATATGTAATGGTTGTCAAGCACCCAAAATGAGGTCATGTAACCAGGGAGGTTGGCACAATGTTTTACAATGGTTGCAAGTGCTTTTTCAAACTGTCATGATGGCAATTTGGCTTCCTAAGAAACCAGATTCCCTTTTTTATTTTTAAAGGGAAATACTTAGATACTTAACAAAATCATTTTACAGGTAGCATTCCCTATTGGATTGTACGGAACTCCTGGGGACATACATGGGGAATAAATGGCTATGCTCATGTTAAAATGGGTTCTAATATTTGCGGTAAGTTTTGATTTGTTTTGGATTTAGATGTGAATTATTTCCTACACAACACCTACTATAACTGTTTGAATTTTCAAGTAGTATCTTATACACTTAAATTGTTTAATATGTGACATTGAAGACCATTCAAATGCCTTCCTGAATATAGCTTAGACCCTTAATTACACTTGATTAAGATACCTGCTTAAACCTTATATGATAAATTGAGACAAAATTGCAGACAATCAATTTTAAGCCCTTTTATTTACACATTGGTCTTATTATTAGTATACATTCACTTACTTGAAGGTAATTCTTGTTATTTAAGGCTGTCCCCCTGAAAACATCTACATGCTTAAAGCTACTGAAAATTCCAGGGATGTGTAATGAAGGGACGGGGCTGAAGAGATATCACAGCAAAAGCTCTTAACAATCCCTTATTTCTGTAAATAAGACAAAAGCCAGGAAGCAGTTCTATTATGGCTGTATTACCATGGGATAGTCTTAGACATGAGATTAGCATGACTGTGTTGGCCTTAGAGAAAATGATACAGATCTGGAGGCCCAAAGCTGTCAGAGTGCTGCTATAAGTATCAAGGAAGAACTCTTGTACAGTGACTTGATGTTGTTAGTTAATGGCTGCATCAGAGTATTACTGTTGATTTTAATTGTTGTATTGGTATTTGAAGGTGTTTTAATTTGAATGTTTTATTGTCTTTACTTTGATATAGGTGTTTGTGTTTTATGTTTTATGGATGTTTATTGTTATTCTGTTAGTTACTTAGGTTAAGAATAAGAGAAACGTCAAATACTTTTTAATCTCTAAAGCTTAAATGGTAACTTCATTTCTTGCTTTCTAGGTATTGCTGATTCAGTTTCTGCTGTATCTGTATGAATTAAGGATTTGTGGCAAATATTGCAGACGCTAGTTTATAATGAAGAATTTTATTATCAAGAAAGGATGTTGCCAATCTTCAGACAATAGTAGTCCTTGGATCTGGGAACAATCTTCCAGCCAGCCCCTCAAAACTAATTGCTGATTGCACAGCCTATACTATTTCTATCTGTTTATCCCTTTTTAATTATTGTTTGATCTACTAGCATATTAGAGCCATGGTGGTACTGTCAACTCTACAATGGCTGCAGCCATTTTCCTTCTCATTCTAGGTTGCCACATAGAATGGGAACCAAGGTCATCGGCTGTTCCCGAGACTAGGGACTGGGCACTGCATAAAAAGCTTGTATAGCTTTTATGGATGGGACATTTAACTTTGTTTTGGAAAATTGTATCCACTCTTGACTGTGCCAGTACTTTGTAACTAATAAAAATGTTTTTTGAGGAATTTGCAAGCCTCGGAGTTCTGCTTTATTCATCTCTGTCTGTCATAACCATGACATTAAACCAAGTCTCATAAAACTTCATTTCTCGGGGTGCTTGGCCCCGACCACCTACCCACTCATTTTTGGGAGAGGGGTAAAGACCCGGCAAAGATTCAAAATGGAGGAGAAGAGTGAAACCACTGCTAGCTGCAACGGAACTCCAGCAGTTGGAGCATAAGCTGGCGCTCCAGCCACTGAGGAGGCATCATTGGCAGGGGCTTGGCTGAAGGCCAGGTTAATCCAATGTGGGAAACTGGTACTGCAGGAAGGAGCTACAATCCTGGCAGACCTCTATCAAGCCGAGACTGCCCTTCAGCGCAGGAGCACTCCTGTAACCACTGGGAGGAGCTCCTATTGTTGCCATCCCAGGATTCTTCATCTGTGGATAGCAAGAAAGGAAAGGGGTTGATGGTATGGGCAACTCCGAAGAGTGGAGGTTTCAGTCCACAATCCACAGCCCCTGCTCGAACAACTGAAGGAGAAGTTCGGCAGGCTGGAGGTAAAGGATACGATTCCTGTTGCCCAGGAAGTGGGTGCCCTGGGGGGGGGGAATGCCAAGAACTACCCATTTCTTTCCCCCCTGCCAAGTCCCAACCCAACCGCTGGAGCCCATGTCGCTTCGCCCATCCCCCAGCCAGCTGTGATGTCAAGTCCCGTATCACAGCCAAGCCCGTTGCCATGGCCTCAGGATGCCAGTCCCAGAGCCCAGCCAAGGGAATTCCGGAGAGTGGTTCGACCATATCCCCAGGATTAGCAAGCTGCCCAAGCCCAGCAATAGGTGCAGGCAGCTCCACTGAGGTTCGAACCGCATCCCATCAAGCCCACCTTTGATTTGGACCCCTAGAAGCTAACCTTCCTAAACTGGGTGTGGGCTCATTTAGATCACTATGCTTATGTCTACCTGGATGGGGCTATGATGGTGAATGCTGTGGCGACGAATTTAAAGGGGGAAGCGGCCAACTGGGTGACCAACCTGCATGATGAAGGGGCTCCTGAATTGCACGATATTAACCTGTTCATGGAGCAACTGAAGGATCATTTTGAAGATGAATCCCAGGCTCTGCTGGCCAAGAAGGAGATCCACTGTCTGAAGCAAAGAGGCTGCCCCAATAATGAGTATGTTCATGAATTCAGGAGAGTTGCTGGTCAGCTGGGGCAGTGGCCTGAACGGTCACTGATCAACTACTTCAAGCAGGGGCTAGATCGCAACTTACTTCAAGCCTGCAACATTTGGAGTTTTCCTAACCTAATTGCATGAGTGGTATAGCATGGCGGTGCTAGACATCAAGTTGGGTCACCCCAGAAAGTCTGAGCCCAAGCTGCCACCTGTCCAGGAGAAACGCCCTTATGGCCAATATTTCCAAGCCACTGTGGCCACCCGCATCTTCCAAGCAGCAGCCAGGGCTCCAATCAAGTGCTACTGGTGTGGTCAGATGGGCTACCATGCCATGGAGTGCCCAGCTCCTAACCCTCAACCCAGTAGCATGCCAGTCACTGCCGCAAAGCTGCAAAAAGCTCCCAGAGGGGGAAGAGGAAAGTCAAACTGGGCATACCAGGACCCGAGCATTGAGGCCTCCCCTCCCACTGAGCTCAAGGCCAAAACCCAATCTGTGCCACAGCAGATGCCGGCACTTTACAACAGTGATGAAGAAAGCGAGGAGGACCCCTTGGTGAGTCAGCCCATTCCCTCCTTTGCCATTTTCACTAGGCTAATAGTGCCCAAAACAGGCCCATATGAGCTTGAACATCCTAATAGACTTGGGGTGCACTCGGTGCTTAATTAACCTACCCAGTGTACTCAAACTGGGCATCTGAGCCAAAGTACTTTCCCTACCCATGAGGTTTGAGCAAGCCACCCTAACAGAACTTGTGCATTTGGAAATGGGTCAGCATTGGGAAACCATCCGTTTTGTGGTGGTTCCAAAGATGATTGAAGCAGTAATTTTGGCACTAGCGTGGCTTCATAAATGGTGGGACATTTGGCTTCAACATCTGGTGGGAAGAGGGAAGTGGAAGTTAGACTGGGGACAGGACCCCTCCCTTCTGCCGCTGACGATAAAATACTGGCCATCAGTGAGATTCAAGGGGAGCCCTGTGAAACCCTAAAGACTGTAGCTGAAAAGTGCCAGGGATTCAACTTGTCCCCACTGAGTACTGTGATTTGGCGGAAGCATTTACTGAAAAGGAATGTGACATCCTCCCCCACACCAGGCTACGGACTGTGCTATTGAAATTCTTCCCAGTGCCAAGCTCCCAAAACCAAAGATGTACTCTATAATGCCCAGAGAGATGAAAGAACTGAGAGAGTACATTGATAAAAACTTAGCTCAGGGTTTCATTGAGCCAGCCAAATCACACGTGGCTGCTCCCATGCTATTCAAGGAAAAGAAAGATGGATCTCTTAGATTATGGGTGTATTTTAAAGGGTTAAACATGGTCAGTATAGAAAATATGTACCCCCTACCCCTGATGAAAGACATGATAGACCACCTGGCTAAAGGAAAAGTTTTTACCAAGCTGGATTTAAGAAAGGCTTATTATCAGATCCGGATTAAGGAGGGGGACGAGTGGAAAACCACCTTCAATTACCTTTTGGGGAGCTTCCAATTTAAAGTGATGCCTTTTGAATTGCAGGGAGTCCCGGCTGTGTTTATGCAATTGATAAACCAAATGCTTCATGATCATTTATACAAGGGGTTTTTGGTTTATCTTTTTTTTTTAAAGAAGTTTTATTGGTTTTTTCAATTTACAGACAAGTGCTTACAAAATAACGTGATGGCAGGGCAATCAATTATCCACACAACAAAGTTATACTCATAAAATTCAGATTAAATTATTTTTTTTAAAAAAACCAAACCCCTCTCTTTTCCCTCTAATAACATATTATATTCAAACTGATATATTTCAATAGAACTAGATCAATCCTATCAATCCTCAATAACCTTTCATCTAAATAGATCCACAAATCCAGATCCTGTATGAAGTTTTCTTATTTCAATTACTATATTCCATATTTCTAATCTAAGTACATAGTTAACACTTCAGGAGTCTCCCCATTACCTTTTTCCTTAACATATTCAATGAACATTTATTAATATCATTTCTTATTTTTCCCTATTCTTCCATTACAAAGTAACTATCAGTTCTAATGTATATATAGAAAAAGTATATTAGTTCACATTAGAAAAGAAAAAGAGCAAAGAAAAAAAACAAAGAACAAAACAGAAAAAAGTGGAAAAAAAATATCTTTCTATTTCTATTATACTTTATAATCTAACAATCAATCCCTCAATATCAATATCACATTTCTTTAACCTCCTCAAAGTTACTATATCCAAAACATATTAATACGTAGACAAACACCTTATTATTAAGTTCAGACCTTTAATTAATTTTTATTCAATCTAACATCTTATTTAACTGTCATAAGCCATAAATCAATCCATATCTAATAAGCCTTTTAAAATCATTACATAAAACCTTCAATCACATTCTTAAATCTTATTCTAGCTTTCCTTTTATGCCAAACAGGTTTCCATAACAACACCACTATATCAATAAGCAAGTCATTTTTTATGTCTTGTAGTGTCCTTTGAATCAAACAGAGACGTCTTCTTTTCTGTTTTAGAAACCTAGCTCCTTTGTAAATAAAGTTTGACAAAGTCCAATCTCCACGTTTGAAACTGTTGAGTGGCCGGCTCAATTATGTCCAATTTTGTAGCTAATAGTTGTTTATCCAAGCTAGCATTGTTCTCAGTTCGTTGGGCTTGTCTGTCCATTTCTGTTAATTTTAGGGTTTAAGTAATTTAATTACAGTCCTTTTTAATTCCACAGATATCTCATCAGCCTGCGTATGAAGTAAAATGGAATCTTCTTTACCTTTAGTTAATCCCGCTTCTGTTGTTTCTTGGTCCATAGAGTGCTCAGACAAAGTCTGGGAGTCAGTTTGTAAGTTCAAAGCAGGATTTCTATTTTTTATTTCCATCGTAAATTCTTTTATTTGCAAACGTATTTCATCAGTAGCTTCATAAAGTTTTTTCCAGTTCCGGATCGCGGCACTCACAGCTGTGCAAGGAGACGGCTCTCCTTGCCAGCTGATTCTCTGCTGCCAGTAGACCCTTAATTGGGTTGAAAAGCCGCCTTGAAGGGGCTGCTACTGGTGAGGAGGTCCTCATCATCCTTGGGAAAGCGGCAGCTTCTTCCAGAGACCGAGATTGCTCCTTTGGGCCAACGGTGGAAAGAACGGCCAGTAAAATGGGCGTTCATCTAGCCGCTGCAACCAGAAGTCAGAAGAACATCTAAGCACAGGAACCACCGTGCTTGAGCTGGGTGAGACTTTTTTTTCTCCCTCTCTTGGGTTTCTTTCTTTTTTTGTGCCTGTAAAGAGCATTTTTGAAATGATTTCCCTACTTTAAGAAGGCAGAGTTTGTGAGTGTGGAGGAAAAGAAGCTTAAATGGACTGAATTAATTTAAAGTGATTTTTTTTCCTATTTTTTTTTTCCCTTCATTTTGGGGTCTTGGAAAATTTTGTGCATATTGAGTCTGCTATTGGACTTAAATGCTTTTTTTTCTGTGTTTCCTGATCTTGTTTATGAGATTCCTGGTCTCTGGGAGAAGATTTTACATTGTACTGAGGACACCTGTGGAAAACGTTAAAATTGCAACTTTCTCTTTTGAGGATTGGACTGACCTTGACTTTCAGATTATCATAAAAAGGAAAATACAAAGAAAATTAAAAGCTGTACTGGTGGGGGTGGACACTGATTAAATGTTCTCTGAACACAGCCTCTACTAAATGATACAGACTGTTTTTGATTATCTTTGAAATGGAGCAACCCTTGGGTTTTTGGTTTATCTTGATGACATCCTTATTTACACTGAAACCATGGAAGAACACATCAAATTGGTCCGTGAGGTGCTAAAGAGACTGTTAAAGCCAAACTGTATGCAAACTGTCAAAGTG